GCAGGGAGAGGGAGATAGAGAAACATCAATGATGAGAGAGAATCATTGATCGGCTATCTCCTGCACGCCCCACACTAGGGATTGAGCCCACCTGCTGGGTTTGTGCCCTGACCGGGAATCAAACACCAACTTCTGGTCTAGGGGATGACTCTCCAACCAACTGAGCTATATAGGCCAGGGCTTGGACAGAAAGTTTTTGAACGGCTTCTTCAGAACTTGATCAACTCTAATAATGTTGCCAGGATTTATATAATTATATGATATAGGGAAGTTGTGTAAGACAGAAGAAATGGATGGAAAATTAATGTTTTCCTCCTGAAAGGGACATAAATCAAATAGCCCCTAGATTCTAGAGTGGCCAGCAGAATATCTAGCACACAGTAGGGGCTCGGTAAATACTTGTTGAATGTATGAATTCAAGTCAGGAATTGCAAATGATTCTAGGGGTCAGGGAGGTGACATTTAAGTATAAATTGGATAAAATTTTAAGATAATAGTCGTGGGGCAGTAGCAAATTGAAAAGTATATGCCCTGCCTAAAGACCACCACATGAAATTTAAAAAACAAAAACATGGATACATAAAACTTTCAGGTCCAACCTCATCTTTTCATAGATAAGAAAGTGTATTGGTTAGAGCCAAAAAGCTGTTAGCAGAACTGGTACTGAAACTCAGATCATTTTTTCAGGCTGGTATTCTTTCCATTCTTCCACTTAGACTAGATTTACTGTTAGACTAGAAAATACTGGAATACAAGGTGTTTCCGTTTTACAGTAGATTCATTTCACAACCATTTGCTATGTTTTTATCCTGATAATTATAGGCTATGTCAAAGCTTAGGTTTAAAATTTATGGGCAGAGATGAGCAGTGAAAGACAAACCTGAAATTTGTCTTTCCCCTAATTTATCATGTTCTCTGTCTAGCATGCCACATTTCTAGGAATCAATTATTAATTACTTGGCATATTGTTTCTTCTCTTTCTCTCTCTCTAGTGGACTGGTTCTGCCTATCTGTAAGGCAATGGAGAAGAAGCTGGGAATCAAGCCAAGTTCTGCTTCCTGGATTTTATCAGGATTTTGTTGGCAGACATCTGTGAAGTGGTTGAGAAGCCTGCATCTGTTTTATATTTGCTTCTGCTTCAGTGTGCTGTGGCTGTCAACAGGTACCATTTTCTTTATAGATTTATTAAGGTTTTTAAAAAAGGACATTTTGTGTGAGTCCTTCAGTTCATTTTAAAGACTATATAGGAAAGTTGGTAAAACAGAAGGAGGCAGAAAAGCAGTGTGCTAATTGACAGAAACAGACTATTGGTAGACACTTAGTTGGAATTACTTGTTTTGTTTTGGTACTAACAATTAAATTGGTTTTTTTTCTCATATGAAGGAATTGGCATAGTCATTTGGAGATTTGCTGATGTGTAATGAAAAGAGAAAAGTTTCAAAGTTGGACAGACCTGGCAGCTAGACTTGGAGCTGGATATTTCCATTTAATAATAATAAAACTTTGAGCAAATTACCTGTTGTCCTTAAAGGAAGGCAGGACCTACCTCATTTGATTTGAGAGATAACATAATTAAATAGTATAGTACAGCATCTGAACATAGTGCTTAGTAAATGATACTTTGCTTCCTTTACTTTCCTAAAAGAATCAGTGTTACAGGGAGAATGTGTTCCTTGCTTTTCCCATAGAAAGGGGTTATGCTGATAGATTTCATAAAGTATGTTTTCCTTCTAGAGATTATTTCACCAGCTTTGAGCCTCTTGCCAGAAAAGAGTGCCAAGAAGGCTAGATTTCAAAGGATATCCTTTTTTTTTCTTCCCTTCCCCTTCAGTTCATTTGTTGACATTGTTTCTTTTCAGAGTATGAAATGTGAGAAAATTGCAATTTGAGAAAGACTTTTGAGTATGCTGCCATTCTGGGCAGTGACCAGAAGAGGATTCTGTTGTAGAGACCACTGTCTGGGATAACTAATCAGCCTTTTGCTCCTATAATTACAAAGGTTTCTATTGCTTTCCTAAAGGAATTGGTGGTCATGATCTTGAGACTCAAGTAATTGCTGTATTTAGCAATTTCAGTAACATCAACTTTGGGGTTTTTGTTGTCTTGCAGAGGTGGTTGATGATTGCATAATCATAGCACTGGAAATTGCAGTTGACAGAAAGCTGACCTAAATGTTTTTTACCTAGATGATGCTTTCCTGGGACAGCTATTTCAGGCTAACATTTTATGTAATATCATTTGAATTAAATAAGTTACTGATTTGGCACCATAAGAGTGGGAAAACCACGTTTTTTGGAATGCACCTACAGTATTCAAAACCCCTGGTTATAAACGTTACATATATTATTTAATTCTCAGGATAAACCTAAAACCAATAGTTTTATTCTCATTTTATAGATAAGGAAATTGAAGCAAAATGACTTGATTAGGATCACATAGCAAGAACATGATAGAGCCAGGATCCTAAACCCAGGTTTGTCCGCTCTGAAGCTCATGTTCTTTTTTGATGCTACTGTACCTCCTAACTACAGGTGATTTTTTGGAGGACCAAGACAATTTTTTTACCCTCAACCATGATATTTGAGGGATTCCAAGTACAAGGGAGGAAGAAGCATTTCCTAGTTTTTCTGTATTTTGGGGGCTAATACTTCATTAGATCTAGTGCTGTGGGCTCCTTAGGTTAGTCTTCATATTTCTTAGCTGGGTGCTTAAAAGCAGCATGCTAGTGAGCTGATTGAGTATTGAGGTGCAAAGTTGGTATTGTTAGGAGTAGTTCTGGTGGGCATTAGATTGTACTACTTATGTTTTAGGAAAGTTTGGAGCTTTTACCATGAAAGAACCAAGAATCAGGTGTGTTCAAACTGAGTGAACATGCAAGCAACGCATGACAGATTTGTTATATATTTTAATTTATCAGATCTCTTTCTCATCATTTTTTTTTAAAAAACACAATATCCTAGTAGGAAAAAATGTATAAAGGACATAAACAGAGTAACATAAGAAATTAAAATGACTTATAAACATTTAAAAAACGTTCATTCTCATTACTAACCAAAGAACCACAGATTAAAATGATATAATTTTTAATCCATCATATTGATGAAAATGAATGAAAAATATCTAGTGCTGCTGAGGGGTTATGTAGTTGCCCTCATATTGTGCTTGGGAATTTGAACAGAGTTTTTTGGCATAGATATCAAGATGTTCAAAAGGTTTATGTTCTTTGACTTAGTAATTCCGCTTCTAGGAATTTATCCCAAGGACACATTTAGAAGGAGAACATTCATCAAACACTCACTTTTTCTATGTTGCAAAGCATTGCTATAACTTCCCTACAATTGAAAGTTGTGCTTGTTGGGCAGTTGTATTCCCTGGCAATGGGAATGCAAGAACAAAGACACAAAAGTGTGAAACAGCCTGGTATATAGTGGAAACTCTACTAGTATAAGCAGTTTAGTGTTGCTGGTATATAAAGAGCAAAGCTGGAATGGCAGCTCCTAAAGAGGTAGATGGTGGCCAGGTCATGAAGGATCTTGTATGCCATGCAAAGAAGCTTTGATTTTAATCTTTTTAGGTAGGTGGTCTACAAATTTTCTTGATTATGCACTCTAATCCATAAAAAAGTTGAGGATGTACCCAAATATGTGTTTGTTCATATGTCATAACAAGTACCATTGTACTGCCCAAAACAAAAATTTAAAGGGATCAACTAAAAAACATAAATAGCACTAATATTTTCATACTCTAATGATTTGTCTTATGCATCCCTTGTAAGCAAACATTCTACCTTCGAGATCATTGCTTTAAGGAATTAGGAGCTATTGAAAAATTTAAGCAGAGGAATAATACTGGTAAATTTCTAGATCATTTTGCTGGGATATAGAAGAATGATAATAGTGAGGATTCAAGTAAGATGAAAAGGGGAGGGATGTCAGGACTAGAGTAGGATATCTACTAGTATTAGGAAGTGAATGAAGTAATCCAGGAGAAAATTGATGAGGTTGTTTTTCAAGGAATTTTTCACTGAAGAGAGTAATTTCACTCAATATGAAGTAGTGCTAAATAGATGGGTAGAATTAGGAGTTCTTTAGTAAGAAATTAGAGGAGGATGGTTTTTTTTCAATTGAGATATAATTCCAGAACATTTTTTAAAACCTCCCTCCCCTAAAAGAAACCCAGTACTAATTAGCAGCCACTTCCTATTCTTCCCTCTCCTTAGCTTCTGGAAACCACTAACCTATTTTCTGACTCTGGATTTGCCTATTCTGTATATTTCATATAAATGAATTCATACACTATGTGATCTTTTCTGTCTGGCTTCTTTCACTTAGCATGATGTTTTCAAGGTTCATTCATGTTGTAGCATGTATCAGTACTTCATCCCTTTTCATGGCTGAATAATATTCCATTGTATGGATATACCACATTCTGTTTATATACCCAGGAGTGAAATTGCTGGATCATATGGGAACTCTTTTAACTTTTTGTTTTCTACAGCAGCTGCACCATTTTACATTTACACCAGCAATATATGAGGGTTCCAGTTTCCCTCTGTCCCCACTAACACTTGTTATTGTGTTATTGTCTGTCTTTTTTTATTATAGTACAGAATGTCACTGAAGTTTAGAAAAATCAGGGAGGGCTTCATGGAGGAAATAGAACTTGGCTTATGCATAATACATATCCAATTTGCAGATAGACAAACAGACACAGTAAGAAACAAGGACTGATAAAATAACCAGATGGGTACAAATCATTCTTTTGTTCACTTTTTTAAAGTTACATATTCGTTCAACAAATATTTATTGAGCTAGACATGTTCTTTGTGAGGAATCTCTAGCCAGTTCCCTGACTTAGTCTTTCTTCCCAGTCAGTGAAGCTTTCTGAATGGGGATAGACCACATCTGCTGTCCCCATTCTCTCACCTCTGTCCTCCTCTGAATCTAGTGAGGTCTGGCTTCTGCCCAAACCTTGGTTTTTGCCAAGGTAACCAGTGACCTTCCTAGTTGGAGACCTTTAGTTTTTATTGTAGTTAACATCTCTGCTGCATTGCATACTTCTTTCTTGTGACTCTCCTTGGTTACCTTAAGTTATACCAGACTTTACTTCGT